GATCAGAGAAAACACATCGGACTTGTGTCCTCGGATACGCCATTTCCATTCTGACTGTCGTCAATTTTTCTCCAATATGGTTTTTTTTGCTTAAGATTCTTAAAAAAATTATGTTTATATTAAAATATGAACATAATTTATTATATACATACATGAGTGATTCTCCGCGCAGTAAACAATTTGGTTTATAATTTTTTTAATAAATTGAAAAAATTAAAAAAATGTTTACCCAAGCAGCACGTAATATTTCATTATTAATTATTCTTTATATAACTTTTCATCCCACATGCACAAAAATGGCGCTTTTAAACAGCTGACGACAGGACGTAATGTAATTCATTTGTTCGACCGTATGAAAATGACGTTCAATTTTTTCCTAGGACAAAAAAAACAGTTGTTGAACAATTGAATGACTTTTACTTCCTGTCGTCTGCTATCTGAAATCGACTCTTTTATGCATTTGGAATAAAGAGTATCGTAAGTAACACGGAAACAAAGGCAGCCCAATTTCTTTACGATGATTTTTGTGACACGAGTGAAGGTCGAGGGCACCACGAGACTGAAACGAGTGTCACAAAAATCACCGTAAAGAAATGGCTGCCTTTGTCTCCTTGTTGCTTAATATACTATTTTGAATTTATAAATAAATGAAATAGGTATTACAGTCCTGCAATATTACAGTGATCTGACTGGGATATCAAAATGTCCACTACTTGATAATTATTATCATATTGTAATGTTACTTTTGAATTAAGAAATTTTTTTAAAACTATAAGCAAGAGAAAATTAGAAATTAAAACTAATTAAAAAAATTCTTTTTCGAAAAAGTATAAAGTATCTCAGTTTGCCATGTATTAATATTAATATTAATATTATATATATATTAATCAATGTAGCGGACATTTTAATATCACAGTAAGATCACTGTAATATTACAAATATCTAATGTAATATTACAGTGACATTAAGGCAATATTAGCTGCTGTTCGGGTATACAATTCTACAAAATTATTGAAATTTAATTTTAAATTTGCTTAACAATATAATTATACATATATGAGGCATTCCATTTCAAAACGACCCCCTTCATAAACAATTAATAATAATTTTATTTAACATTTAATTTTTTCCTTTGATGAAACATTTTTTTGCCTATTCAATTCTAATAATTTATATAATACTAAAGTAGGAGAGACTGGGGTAAACCAGCTCACTTTTTGTCAGTTTACCGACAACTCACAGTTTTGTCGCACTTTTTTTTTGTTTTAAATTATGGAAAAACCCAAGCTGTACGTTATGCGGAGAAACACCTATATATGACTATAATGTTTCAAGAAACTTCTTAATTACTTAAAAAATTGTTTATTACTTATTTTAAAAAGCGCAATTTTTACTGGAATGGTCATATTACCCAAGATTACTCTTGAACATTTTCTTTACTTGTAATAACAGACATAACTAGATTACCACATGAGTCAGTGTCCACACTGTTTAGACTTCAAATTGCATTGTGTGGCACAATTAACACTAATACGAAAAGGGTGAGAAAGAAAATTACAAACATATTTAAAGTAGCACCGTGTGAGAAATTATGGGGACTTAAAGAAAAAAAGATGTTTTTAAAGAGCTTTGATAAACAACAGCAAATTAAATGCGAAGCATCGTTATGAGGAAACTCGTTGAAAGAGAGTTGAAGTTATCTAAAAGACTAAAGAATGGGGGAAATGCAAGAAGACAAACTTATTTGGGATCTAATTTGAGATCCCTAAGTAACTAAAAAATCCTGCACATTTTTTCGAGTTCTTGCTAACCCTCCCTCTCACTGCATTCTAACTTTTTCTCCAGTGTGTGATAATGTCATAATACTTTTTAGTTCAGACTTCTACTAAACCACCTGTGTTATTTTCAATTTGTGACTTTCAATTGAAGTATAAAAATTGTGACTAGCAACTTAAAAACCCAAAAAAAAGATGATAAAAGAGATTGAGATAAAGAGAGCTTATAAGAATCCAGATAAATTTTACGAGAGAAAAACTAAAAGCAGTAAACACATGAACACTGACAATGCAAGTACATGCTGGATCTTTTTTAAGGATTAAAGTCCCCTCAAGGAATAAGAGTTTCTCGTGAAAATCATTGGATCCATGAGTTTCAAGAAAAAACTTGTTTATTTCGTTAACCTTCTCCTTTAAACAATCTTTTTTTGACAGTGTTAACTTGTAAAGATCATATGAAACATTACATTGACGGAGAAGTACAATGAATCTCAATCTTAATGATAGAGTGTTGCTCAGTCTCTTTCTTTATGCGATAATAATGCACTTCACTCGCGGAAAAAAATGTCTTCAAAGTCTTTTTTAAATTTTTTTTTATCAAATTTCCAAGAAGTCCTTTTTTAATATTTTGTTTCTGAAACCATATTTTTTTGTTTTATTTTTTAATGAAGTTCTAATTGGCATATTGGCTTCATATCTTGGCATATTAGTAGAACTTGATTTATTTCTCTTCACTGATGCACTTACATTCATAATTATAGAGAGTTTGTTTTTTATTAGGCATGCATTTAGTTTACGAAATATTAAATACTGCACTAAAGCCTATACACATTTCATACTCCCAGCAAATAACGCCTCAAAAAAGAAGAAATTAGTATCAAATTTTTACCTATTTAAAAAAAGAGCTAGTTTCTTTGGGTAGTCGTTTCTTCTTTTTAATCCAGAGAACATTTTGATATTTAAAAAATATTGTGAATGACTATAGGTACTAGAAAATTTACCATATATTGTTATCACAAAATACCTTTTTATCACAAAACTATCACTTTGCTTTATCTATTAATGACTTTTGAGCAGTATCAATTAACATAAACAAGGAAGTAAAGTCACTTTAAAGGTTCTTCTTGTTAGAACCACGAAATACTTATTTAAATATTTTTTCTAAATATAACAAGTGAAAATTATTTTTCGCAATTAATATTATAAAAAATAATTCATCATTTTTTTAAACTATGCACTGAGAAAAAAGAGGGCGCGTTGCAGCACATTTTCGAGTCATGTTGCGCGACTCAACCCTGTGTTCTGCTAGACACTTTTCTGGGGCGCGCAGCGTTCCCCTGATTCGAGGCGAGCTGTACTTAAAGTGTATTACACGCTCTTTGGGGAACACTGCACGCCCCAGAAAAGTGTGTAGAAGAATTCAGGGTGAAGTCGCGCAACGTGACTCGAAAATGTGATGCAACGTGCCCTCTTTTTTCTCAGTGTGTATAACTTTATAAAACTTGTAGAAAAATAAATAAAAATTTGAAACGCTAACATTATTTACACTAATACCCTGATAATCGATTATTACTATAAGACACTAAACTAACTTTCATTGGCCATTGTCTTTAATAGTGATGCATGTCGAGCAAATAGATATCATTTGTCTTTTCGTCTCCTTTCATAAAATAAGTGAGATCAGGGTGGCCACATGTCAGTAAAGTCAGGGAAATGTCAGGGAAAAAATATTTTGTCAGTAAAGTCAGGGAAATGTCAGGAAAAAAATTTTTTGTCAGTAAAGTCAGGGAAATGTCAGGAAAAATTTTTTTGTCAGGGCAATTAAAGAAATTAAGACGGTCATGCAATACATTCTTTGATCTAAACAAAAAAATTTTTGTCAGGGAAATTCGTTGTTATGTCAGTAAAATGTCAGGGAAATGTCAGGGAAATTGATAAAGTTAATCTTGCGGCCACCCTGGAGATGAGACTATAAAATGGAATTGATTTAATTACTATTTTAAAGATATGCTCGATCAGTTGAGCATATTGTTGAGAATTTACCGATCGAAAATCACTCGACGTGTAGCACTAGTCTTTAATTACTGACAGGAAAGTCAATAATTCCCTTCTTGTTTTGCTAAAATCGCTTGATTTTTAAATGTTAAACCGTCAATTCGGCCTATCACTGACCATAAAATTCATCATTAAGATTACAAACAAAATTGAAATAAAATTCTTAATTTTGTCATAATTCGCAATTTATTCAACTTCTGAGAAAAATATTATTTCAAGTATTTTAAATATTATTTAGCTCAGTTATCTTATCATTTTCTTAGCATCTGAGTGAACGGTTTTTGAATTTAATAGCAAAATAGAAAAATGATCTAACATCGTGAGGAATTTTTTTATTCTACTTTCTCCTTAAGAGAAAATGAATTTAAAAGAGATTTTATTGTCTTGATTATCGTCTGATTAATATTTAAATTAAAAATGAACCCACCTTGGTTGCAGAAAGAATCAGCGAGACCTAAAAGTTGAATAAGTATGTCGAAGACCTTATTAGGTCAGTGTTAGACCGCAATGGGAAATTCGTCCGGAAGGCATTCAAACCTCCTCAAAAGGTTTGAATCAGTTTTATTTCAACTAAAGACCATTGCCATTTAAAGAATCACTGATAGTAATAAGTTAAATTTTATTTTAATACTAAATGCGAACATGTTTATTTAAAATTGGATCATTTTAAATTTGACTCTCTCGATTCGATTGGATCATTTAAATTAGAAACGTGATTAATTTAGCTTTGAATTTAATCTAAGCAGAACATTACAACTTCTGAATTATTCATTTTTTATTTGACCTTCAAATTACTAACTTGGTGTATTTAAATGGCAAAGATTTATCTGAGTTGAATAGCTAATAAAAAAAACAATAATAAAATGTCTGTATTCACGACGTTGCATTTCCGGCGACAAAATTTGTCGTGTATGAAAAGTCTCATGTACCGATAAAAGAAAATGACTGTGGTCTACGTCCACTTAACTTGACTTTTTCTTTATAGCTTGGTCGTGGTGTAGCGGATGTGGGAGTTCTATGCGAAAATTCGTTTGTTTTCAGAACGATTGAGCTGCTTATTGGAAATCTCATCAGCTTTGGATCGCCTTCAAGAGAATCCTTGGCAATTTTCCCTGATTTCTGAGTAAAGAGTCTGAAGTGCCTCTTCAGGCACGTCATGGATGCACCTACCCTCTGGCCACTGAACGCACACTGAAACAAAAAATGCAACATAATTATTAATATTTTCTTATAAAAGAACTGTCGAATTGACATTTCAACAAAAGTAACCCAGTGTGCACGTTCTGGAACTGTTCTGTAACAGTTAATGGAAATAAAGAACAGTTACAGAACGGTTCCGGAATTGTTCCGGAACGTGCACACTGCATTGGGAACATTATTTCTTTTTATTTATTTAGTAAAAACTAAATAGAAGGCATGCAACTTAATTAGCATAAAACAGGTGAAACACATTCAGGATTCAAGTGGTCTGATATGAAATTCAAGTCAAAGAATCCTCCCTCGTGAATTATTATTGTAAACCTATCATTATTTTAGTTAAGAGGTTTAAATTTAGCCTTCAGTTTTCTTTAAAATTAGACGCGACACTACCCGAATAACGCTTGAAAGGTTGTGTCCTATCAAAGGATACAAATAATGCTTAGGAGAGTGTGCACAATGTCCCCTGCACGGCACGATCTCCCAACTCTGATCGTGTTCGTCTCACCACACGATTGGTTCCTAATTTAAACACCCCTTGTTGAGGTGCCAAAAGATCGAAGAGATTGCAATCAGAAAACCCACATACATTTTCCATTCGGACGAATTTAAATTTAAAATTAATTTAATTTAATTTTGTTATTTTTTCTTCTAATAAACATAAGTGGTCATGTGAGAATGGCTGGAGCGCCGAATCATGGGGAGATCGGAAGTTGCGTCTATAGAGTAAAATGTAGCGAAGCTAAATAAAATATCTTTCAAAGCTTTTTTGGCTATTGTCATTATTGCCTCTAGATTTGGAGCTGCGTTTTAGTTATAAAAAAATTGTATTTGTAGAATATGTTAACTTGTGTATGTACTTGAGAGTCTCGAACCCTGCGTTGTCAGGGAGAGTAAATAAACTATTATTATTATTATACAAATTAAATGTATTCCTAATTTAAAAATGCTCAATGTATATATAAATTTAAAGGTGTAATCTTATACAAACTATTATAAAGAAACACATACTTTTCAATGTATCCACTTTTTTTTAGTTAATTTTATCAAAAGAGGGCACTGAATTCTGCGTCGAAACACATCATGTTTTGAAGTTGAAAATAAATTAAACCAATTAGGCCAAAAATTATGAATACATTTCATTATAATATTACTGGCTTTTAAAAATTAAAGTTAATTTTTCACTACCTATTATAATATAAATACAGATTAAAAGATTTCACCTATCTCATTCTTATTGTTAGACATGGTAATTTTAAAAATAGTCAATACTGTGCCGCTAAGAAGGCTTGCATTAGAAAGTATTGAAAAAACTTAATTCCTTGTAATTATTTTTTTGTCTTGAGTTTTGAATTCACAATTACTGAGCATAAATAAAAATTTTATGCGACCTGGGCGAGGTCCTGTCAAATTTCAGGAAATCTTCGGTGCTGTGTGGACTGTCGATTATTGTCCAGTTCACACCATTAGATCTCATAGCTGTCGATAAAACCGGTTGCACTGAGGAGAGGTTTTCTACAGTTCGACTATTCTCTGGCGAGAAAAGCCAATAGACTAGAGGGACAGAGAAATGCGAGTACATTCTTCCAATTTCAAGTTATTCTGTAGACCCAATGTTTAGTGAAAAAAGTAGACATAAGATATAGTTTGTAAGAAAATTTCCACGTAACAATTGTAATGCTAATATTAAGGCAAAAGACAAGTGCATAAATAAGTAAAAATACCTTTGAGAAACAAGACATTAGAAGAAACTTCCCAATAATGCAACTTACAATTTTCAGTAACTTATAAAAGTTCTCATTTTCAAAAGCATAAAATATCTTTTCATACCTTCATCGTGTATCACTTAAATTATTTCTCACAATGAAATGGAAGGATTTAAATAAATTTAGCTTTATACTGTTAAAATTTAGGCAGTAAAACTTCTTTATTAAAAAAAGGAAATTATATACTATATACTTTCGATTTTTGTAGAACAATGGCAAGACTTATTTGATGAAACTAAAGTTACCATCGTTTTTTCAACGAAAAAATTAAAAAAAATTTCTCTAAAATGTTCGGGATACAAATTCTCATTAACCACTTCACTGGTAAGGCGTTCCAAATGGCGTTCCTTTCGTCGTGACCCAGACTGGCGAAAACAACGAAATGGCGTTCCTAATCAAACTTTATTTTTAAAGTGTGTGCACTACTTTTAATAACTCCAAAGCAATATTTCTATATTTCAGACATCAAGGAACAAGAATATCACAATAAGAATTTCAGTTTTTGAGATTTTCAACGTTTTTACAAGCGTTGAAATCGGCTATTTTTAACTCTTTTCAACGATTAAAGTTACATGCTTTTTCATTTATTACACAATATAATACTTGTATCTTTCATTAAAATTATTATTTCTATATTTTATAAATTTGAAATATAGTATATCAAAAAAATAGTTAAAAATATCCATTTTCAACGTTCAAAACAACATTGAAAATCTTAAAAACTGAAATTTTTATTGTAATATTCTTGTTCCTTGATGCCTAAAATATAGAAATGTTGCTTTGTAGTAATTAAGAGTAATGTACACGGAAAGAAAAAGTCCGTCAATCATTAATAGACTAGTATATTACTTTGAGACGGGACACAAAATCATTGAATGGATAACATACTTTGAGTCACAATCAGTGACGAGTTGCTTGCTAAAATTTAGAAAACTGTCATCAATATATAAAACTCGTTCACTAAAATTTAGAAAACTGTCTACTCTCTAAATCTGAATCAGCGAAATTTCACTGATTCTCAGCGATAAGTATGCCACTATTTCAATTAGCGTATATGCGCTGTGAATTAGTGAAATTTCACTAAATAATCAGTGAAACTTCACTGATTAATTAGCGCATATACGCTAATTGAAATAGTGGCATACTTATCGCTGAGAATCAGTGAAATTTCGCTGATTCAGATTTAGAGAGTATTAAATTTTCTATGACTATCAAAAGCATTCAAAAAATTCAACTTCTTTCAGAATTATCCCTAATTTTAGACACTATTTGGTACAGAATGAACACATTTTTTTCGTTGCACAGTTCCGATATTTTATTTACACTCTTAGACGCTTAAGACCAACTCATTTTCGCACTTATAATAACTACACGTAGAAACGCACACTTATAACACTTTAAGTTTAGAAGCGAACTGTTCTTATATACCAAATAACAAAATTTTTCACAACTTGTGAGAAATGATTTTGCACTAATAACTACTTTTTAATTAGCGAGAAATATAAAAGAAAATATATTTTCATCGAGGTCAATTTCTAGACGCAATTCAACTGCAAATTATTAGTTAAGTTAAATATTCACATTACACATAATAGTATATAGGGATATGTATAGCAGACAGCAAAAACACATGGACTATAGAGAAACCGGAAGAAATGCGCATCGGTACACTGCGCAACAATGCGCTAGTGAAGAGCGCCGATTTAGAATACGAGTCAACTAACGTTTCACAAACTTTCACTAATGATTCGTAAACATTCAAACAGCCATTGATAACAATTCAGCATTAAATCTAAAACAATTGGTCACATACTGGCATTCTAATCAATCCATGACTCGTTTTCAATCGTTAAGTAAAGTTAAGTAACCATCAACGGAAAAAGAGTCCCGTCTCAAAGTAATATACTAATCCATTAATGGTTGACGGACTTTTTCTTTCCGTGTACAGACTTCAAAAATCAAGTTTGAATAGGAACGCCATTTCCATGATTCCATAAATTCTCTCCTCGGAAGCAATTTTTTTCTCTTGATAATTATTTATTTTAATATCAGAAGCCTTCTAAAAAAATTGCAAGAGCACGGAAAAATTTTTGAGGCAATATCTATGGTGCATCTATTTATGGTGCATCTGTTATCCCTATCACTTATTATTTCCTATTGTTTTTATATGAAGTGAAGTTAATTATTGGACAAATTTTTCGAAGGGTACAGCATGTGCACCTTAAATTTTTCCTTGAGGATTCAAGTCGGGGAAAGCAGTGAGTTTACTCCCGCTACTATCCAACCGCAGTAAGAAAACATCGATTTCTGCCCGCCTCGGATGCACGATAAATAGCAAAATTCATGCCCTGCCTAGTAAAAAAGGTTTTTCTTTATTTTAAAATTTTTTAATTATAATATAATATTTGCCAATAACATTTTCACTGTCTGATTATCTTTAAAGTTTATATGAAAAATTCTACTATCAAAGGTAGAAATTTCGATTTCCCCATTCCATATATATTTCCTTATATAGCGTGCAGGATAAACATTGTATTTAAATGTAATTCCTTCAGTAATCTCACCAGTGTACAATCAATGTTATGTAGAGAAAATATGTTATATCATTAGTTCTACAAACGAAGAAAAAAACAAAGTGAACTTCGACAAGACGTTTTTCATTTTTAATTCAAATCCGAACGAAATGCAAGAGATAGAAAAAAAATATAAATGGAAGGAGTTACATGTACGAGATAATCGATCTGTCAGAAGTAATCGACTGTAATAAAGGGTATACCGTAATAAAGGTACCTAAGAAATGAAATTGCCTTCAAGTCGATCGATCGTTTTCGAGGATGAAGCAGTGATAGAATTTCAAGTCAAGGAAATTCTCCTAGAAAGGTTTAACACCGATTATACATCAAAATGTAGTAATCCGCTTTTTTGAGAGTAAATAATATGAAATTCTTAGTGAAGCATTTCAAACTTGTTAAATTAAACAAGGTAATTGGTGTTGGTATTTGGTTCGTTTCGTGTATACATGTTGGTGTGATTTACGTTTTGCTAATGAAGAGGGTGATTTAAACCAAGTTCAAGAATTTAACCGAAGAATTTCTTGCAGAGGATTGATCGAAATTTTGCGTGACAAAAGTCTCTATCTTGTTTGCAAGGCATGTCAAATGAAACAGTAGGTGGCCAATTATTTGTGATCCTGGAGATCTATCGAAACTAGGTAACGATAAGTGTTGA